GCTTTCTGCGTCCTGCTCCGGCCAGCTCCTGGGGGCCTTGAAAGGAGCGAGAGCCCAGGATTGGGGCAAGGGCGGACACCACGCCCGGTTCCCCCTGAGAGGGGCAGGGCGCCAGGGCCCCAGGGATTCCCGGAGGAAGAGCAGAGTATCTGGGGCTGCAGATGGATGGGGCGAGGAGTCCCGGGGGCTGGAGCGGGAGGGGGACAGTCTGCTCTTACCCAGTCGCTGCTGGGCCCGTGCTTGCGCCCCGGGGTCGGTGGTCTCTGCTACCTGGACGGGGAGGAGGGTCACGGTGCCCAGAGTTCAGCCGTAGCTGATGCCAACCCCACCCCTGCCAATGGAGACCCAACCTCCCAGCCCAACACCCATCTCCCTGGAAGGGAGAGCAAGCCAGGCAGATACACTGGGCAGAGCGACAGGAGCCCGAGTATGTCTTGGGAAGAGGAAGAAGACAGACAGACAACCAGGAAGGGGCTTGGAGATATCAGGAGGCAACAGCATCACAGGAACATGGGAAAGAACCAACCAAGAGGCGACCAGACAGGCCAGCTGAGCAGGTGACACAGGCCCCCCGGGCGTAGCAGAGGTGAGCGAGCATGAGCAGCACCAAACCCCCTGGGCACCGACTGCAGCCACTCACCAGCCCTTGCTTCTGGGGTGCCACCACCAGCACAGCCAGGACAGTGAGCGGCACAGCCAGCAGCAGGGTCACCAGGGAGGTGGTTCCTGCCACAGCCAGCAGGAGGCAGCCCTTCCCCTGGCGCCTCCTCCCCCAGCCCTCCAGCCCCAGTGCCCCCATGGAGACTGAGCCAGGGCCAGGGCAGGGGGGCTTTCATATCTCAGGGGTGGGGCCACCACCTCCCCATAGACCCACACACCTGGCTGGGACTTTCCACACACCCCTGCTCCCCTCACCCAGCTTCCTGTTTACCCAGAGCTGGGGTGGGGCAGCTGGATGCCTGGGTTCCTTGAACTGGGGAAGGAGTGGAGGCGAGGAGGCAGGCTTTCAGGGTAGATCTGGAGGGTGTCTTAGCGATCTCCTGGCTCAGTGGGGGCGGGGGGGGGGCGGGGGGGGGGATGCGGCCTGAGCAGGGCAGGTGGCTTGCAGAAAGCCTGGCAGCAAAGCTGCAATGAGAACACAAAACTCCCGATACCCAGCACAGCCTGCAGCCCTCTGCCCCCCAGAGGCGGGTGCTGCACAGAGGGCTGCACCCCAGCCCTGAGGTCCAGAACGGGGGTCTTGAGTGATAGATGTCCCTGAGAAGAGCTATCCCTGCACTGGACTGACCTCCATTCCCCTGCTCCCCCCTCTCCCCCGCAGCCCCCAGAACGGGCTGCACAGGGATGGCAGCTGAGGGGGGCCTGCCTCACCGCCGACGCCTGCCTCGCTGAGGAGGGATGGGGGAGCATCACCTCCCTGGCTCCGGAGTGCACAGAAGAGCCATACGGCACCCCCCCCCCCAAAGAGCTTGGCACCCAGAAGGAGTCCCAGCCATTGAGTAGGTGCTGACTGAATGTTAAGAAGAAATGACCAATGAATGAGCAAGCCAAACCAAGCAGCACTGACCCGATGCAGGCCGTGGTGGACAGTGCGGTGGGGGCTGAGGGGAAGGCCGGGCCCGAGGACATTAGAGGTGGTTGCACATCATCTCCCCTTCTCAAGGGCCTGTGTGTGTGTTTGGATAATAACAATAATATAGCTGATAGGGCCCTAGCTGGTTTGGCTCAGTGGATATAGCATCAGCCTGCGGATGGAAGGGTCCCAGGTTCAATTCCGGTCAAGGGCACATGTCTGGGTTGCAGGCTTGATCCAACGTGCAGGAGGCAGCCAATCAATGATTCCCTCTCATTGTTGATGTTTCTACCTCTCTCTTCCTCTCTGAAATCAATAAAAATATATTATATATATAGATATAGATATATAGATATATATATGGCTAATCAGCAAATAGCACTTAGCATATGCCTGCCACAGACCTACACACTTTATATATAAAATTATTTTAATCCTGACAAAAATCCTGTAAGAGGCACAGAGAGGTTAAGGAACTTGTGGAAGGTCACACAGTAATGGTAGAGTCAGGATTTGAAACCCAGGCAGTCTGGCTTCAGAGCCTTGACCACGAGACAGTTGAAAAGCTAAGTGCTGGCTTCAGATTTGTGTACTTGGCTGCATGCGAGCGTCGCCTCCCTCGGCCCTCCAAAAAAGAAATGGAGAAGCAGACACTGAACTCTAGTCAATGATAAACATGGCAAAGAGGTTAGAGATGGAATGGACTGGTGTTTACAACTTTGAAAGGTATCCAATAATGAGATGAACAATAAGTGATAAAACAAATGTAGAAAAACGCTCATGGTAGACTCTAGGTGGTAGGGATATGTGCACTGTTCAATTCTTTCCATTTTTCTCTATTTAAACTTTTTAATAATAAATCTTTTTTAATATATATTTTATTGATTTTTTACAGAGAGGAAGGGAGAGAGATAGTTAGAAACATCGATGAGAGAGAAACATTGATCAGCCGCCTCCTGCACACCTCCCACTAGGGATGTGCCCGCAACCAAGGTACATGCCCTTGACCGGAATCGAACCTGGGACCCTTCAGTCCGCAGGCCGATGCTCTATCCACTGAGCCAAACCGGTTACGGCAAATCTTTTTTTTTTTTTAATGAAACTGAATATTGTCCTCCTGTCCTGCAGTAGGGAGCACTGTGGAGGGAGAGAGGGAGGAAGTAGCAGAAAGTTTCTGAATTTGGAGAAGAAAATGCAAATGCACGTGGACTCAGGTACCACATCTCCTGAGCCCTGGCCTACACATGAGCTCCCCAGTCTCCGCCTCCTCAGGAACCGGCTGCAGTCCTCCACCCAGGGCGCCAAGAGGCCTTCCTCCAGCCTCTGCCCAGAGGGCCTCAGACCACTGCCCTTGCTTCTCTTTGTGCCTAACCTGAGAATGCTGCCTCCGGCAGGAAGTCCACCTGGACGGCCATCCCTCCTTTCCGAACACTAACCAGTCACCAACCCTAGATCTAAGAGCAGTGCCCATTAGACTTAGTCCGGCTGCCTTTGACTTTGTGGTTTGTAAATCAGTCAACCATGCACGAAGAGAAAGAGAGAGAGAGAGAGAGAGAGACTGACTCCCAGACACCAGGTGGTGCAGGAGCCAGGTGTGTGTCCACCGTACACCGAGTCAGGAGCTTCCGTGGAGCAGTGTGGGAAGTCATGGGAAAGTCAGTCAGGGAAGCCCCTGAGGAGGCGAAGTCACCGGCTCCCTCAGGGTCAGTAGGACGGCTGGAACCCAGAGGGTGCTCCATCCCAGGGGTCTGAAAGGAAGGATGCCCTAACCCTCACCCTCGAAGCCCAGCTTCCTCTCTAACGAACGGGAGACACCAAGGCTGAGGGAGAGGCTGAAGCCAGAGGCGGTGGAGTGCCTTGGTGAGCACTTGCTTCCCCAGGCAGCTCTGCTGTGCTGTCCTCTAGAGTCGCCCTCCGCCCCCCGCCCCCCACCCCGCCTGCAGGCCACGGCTCCGGGCTCCGGGTGAGCTGGGAGAGAGCAGGGATCCTTGGCAGGGAGAGTGGACAGACACCCAGACTGAGATGAGGCTATGAGGGGCGGGAGAGCACGGCTTTGAGGCTCCCTGGGCCCCAGAGGAGACCTGCCCAGCATCCGTCTCGGATCCCTCCAAAGTGAAAAGCAGCCCACTCCTGCCCTCCTCCCCTCGTGGCCGCCTGGGGCCTCCTGCCACCTGGGCTGCCCCCCCACCCCCGCACCCCCACACAGCAGTTCCTCTCCGGCCCAGGAGGCTCTGTTTCCACGCCCTGGTCAGTGCATCCGGCTCTGGGGTGAAGTCCGAGGCCTCCTTTCTGCCCTCAAACAGGAACAAGCGGTTGCTGGGCAGGAAGCCTGAAGGGAAGTTAGGGGCCCCAGAGGCTCCTGCCCTCGCCAGCAGGATCTGCCCGCCCTGCCGAGCTGCCAGGGGGCTGGACACTGCCCACCTGCCTTTCCACCGTCCCCACACGCACCCACACCCTGCTCCTCCCCCGCCATCGCTCTTCCGGAACAGAACCCAGAGCAGAACCCAGAACTGTCCGGGGCTGGAGAGGCCCAGGCGCCGCGGTCAGCCCAGCGGGCAGAGGGAAGGGGGCGGGTCCCCACGGGGAGATGGCACCACAGCCCCTATGCCCGGCCGATGAGCCGGGTGAGGGGAAGTGCCAGGGCAGGGCAGGGCAGGAGCGAGGCTGCTGGGCCTGGGAAGATTGAGACAGAGGCCGGCTTTACCGATGAGGAACTCGAGGCACGTGACTCGCCCCAGGCCACTTTGGCCGCTGGGCAGGGGCCAGGCCTTGCTCTCTGGGACCAGTCTCCCGCGCCCAGCCCAATGACAGCTTGTGGTGCTATGCCATCAGGTGAGGTGGCCTCGCCCCGGCCCAGGCACAGCGCGTGCAGAGTGGGGTGTGCAGGCCCAGGACCGGCGGGGAGCTATCCAGGGACTGGGGGGGTGGGGGGCGCAGTGGGGTGGCAGTGGGAGCCTCCGAGGAGTGAGAGGGCTCAGGGGTCAGTGATTAAACGATGGTGGGCGGGGCCTCTGCTGGGAGGCCAGGTGACAGGGCGGTGAGGGATTCCTGAGGGATGCTGTTCTGCCTCTGAAACTGCTGGAGAGGCACTGGGAGGGCGGGGTCAGTGGAGAGGGCGAGGGGCCCTCTGACACTCACCGCTTTCCCCACAGACTACATATGGCCTTTCCTCTATGCGAGCTTGGGGCTGGGGGGCCTCCTGGCTGTGGTTGTGGCTGTTCTGTCCGCCTGTCTGTGTCGGCTCCATCGGAGAGGTGAGCCTGCCCTGACCCCCTCATCGCCCGCAGCAATGCCCCACCCGCACCCTTCCTACTGCTTTCCCAGGGCGCCCGCAGCCCGACACACCCTGAGAGGAAGGGGAGAAGCTGGGGGAGAGGGAGGGGAGACTGTCCAAGTGGAGAGAGCAGGCTTTGGCTGTGGGAACCACAGAAGAGTCAGCGGGAGGAGCCACCGCTGCAGGGGGGGGGGGGGGGCACCCAGGGCGCCGGGGCACCAGAGCTGGTCGCGCTGAGCTGCTTCCTTTCTTCCAGTGAGGAAGCTGGAGAGGAGCTGGGTGAGTCCGGGGCCAGGGACGGGGGTGAGGGGCTGAGACAGAGATGGGGGGCGAGGGAAGAGAGAGCAAGCAGGGGTGTGAGTCGGTGAGAAAATAAGAGGCAAAAGGAGAGAAATAAGAGAATGAGTAGAAAAGAGGAAAGAAATGGTACAGATATAGGAAGAGGAAATAAGACAGAAAAGAGAAAGAGAGAGAGGCCCAAATGAGAGAGACAAAGAGTGAAAGAGAAAGTCAGAGAGAAGGAAGGAGACACTGGG